CTCCTTGTTCATTCACATCAAAACAATAGTTGAAAATTAAAAAAAAAAGGTATAACTTACATAAGAAAAGCTTCATTTCTTTTAAACCGTCACAATCGTTCGGTTTTACTTCGCATTCGTTAAGTAATCGTTGATGAAGCGGAAGAACTTTATAAATTGTTGGTTGTTTATCATCACTAAGTTGTTCGATTACCTCATCGAACACTTTCAGAAATGAACATACTTGTTCCAAAAATTCTTTATCCAACAACAAATATTCGTTTAAATTTATATTATCAAGAACAAGAACTAATTCATCAAAAATATCCAGAAATACTTGTAACATATGATAAGCACCATTAAATCTTGTTTCTGAGTACGTTTGTACTCTTTTCGACATCTTGGTCTGTTTATGAGACCTTCTTAGATGAGAAACTATTTTCTTTACACGCTCAAATAATACTTGAGCAAGATCACATTGTACAGGTGATTTATCAATTTCTTTTTTAGTAAACATATGTTCAAGCTGTTTATTGATGAAATGGCACGAACAACCAATACGCTGACAGTTTAATCTGAATGTTGAAAGCATCTTTGGTTCATTATCGGAAACAATGTAAACATTTTCATTTAACTGTAATTTATAGTCAGATAGTTTTGATTCAACAAACTTCCTTGTATTAATTGCACTATTTGATTCAAGATCACAATGGTAGCATCCCAACACAAAACAGTATAATTTCCAATCATCATTTATGTGATGTAACGAAATTCCACAATATTGAATACCTTAAAGGACAAAAGAAATACTACTAGAGATGTGAAACGTTATTCTAACGAACCCGTATGGATATCCTTCCAAGAATCAACAACAACAGTATATTCAAGCATTTTCTCACAAATTGAAACTAATTGCTGATGCTTTTGATTATATAATTTATTAACTTGACGGCTAATCTAGGAAAGTGAAGAAAATTACCTTGCTGTGGTTATAATAGATTAAAAAATATCTTTCTTACTGTTGTTGGATGTGGAAGTAATTTTTCAACATTAATATCTTTAGATATAGGTAAATATTTGCCGGCATCGAAAATTTTTTGTGCAAGATTTTTGAAGCCTATTCCATGAATTGTTTTAAATGATCGAGAATCAAGTGCTGCAAATTCAGCACAAGCAACGTTGATTTTCTGCTTTACTCGATCTGGAATAGCAGGTTCATTTTTTGAAGATGCATAAAATTGATTGATAGTTGTCTGATTATGAGAAGCTGTCGTTTTGACCTTTTGACAGCTACTAATATGTTTAGATAAAGAATTAGTACCAGAAGATGGTTTATAAATAAGTAATTCTTCGCATTGATTGCAAATAACATATTCCTGTTTGATATCGTTAACGTAAATATGACTAAAACTATTCCATACAGCTGAAGATTTTGGTGTTACTGTTGGTTTGACAATTTTCAATGACGAATTTTTTTTATCAATTAGTTGTTCAATTTCTTTTTTCGTTAACATAGTTTGCTTTTTAATAATCGAAAAGTTTCAAGGGTGAATCCATGGAGACCCATCCACTTTTTGGAAAGGTCTTTTTTTTCGATTTTTTTTTGTTCAAAAGGCTGATCTCGACTAGAAAACACTTTTGATCAAAAAAAATTAAATACTCTCTATCAAAAATTCCGAGTTTTCGAGCATTTTCTCGGAACACCTATGGTGTACTTTTATATATAGGGAAAATGGCATGAAATAGGATAGAAATTTTTTAAAAACAATTTTTTCGGATTTTTTTGGTTTTCAAAAATATAAACAAAGTGTGGGTGGGTGTGGGTGTGGGTGGGTGTGGGTGTGGGTGTGGG